TACCTGTACTAGTTTATCGTAATTTCTGTGATTCTACGTTACGCTGATTTAGTCCTATCATGCGATGTTAAGAGCAGAAAACTCAAAGCGGTCGAAGGTCCTTAGGCTGACGTGACCCGTTCCAAGGAAAACGCAATCACTAGCCTCACCAGGGAAGGGCTAGCGTGGTCACGAAATCCGTTTGTTTGCACAGATTTGGCTTCAGCCGCCGAATTGCTGCTGCCTCCGCAAACTGTAGTAAGCGGGGATTAGCTTGTTTGCTAACTGCCCTGAAATTGCCACGTGGGTTTGGGCATTCAGGGCACTGCCTAATTTGGAAATCGCAAAGCAATCCTCTTGTGGTAGTTGCTCCAGGGTCGTTGGAGATCGCACTGATCAGAGTACATGCAGTTTATGCAGCATATTCATATTTCGTGTATTGGTCTATCTGTGAACCGGTTTCGAGTAATTCAAGGCATTCAGCGCGGTTTTTTGAAGACAATTTGTAAGCGATGTCAGTCTAAGCTTGGGCAGAATGAAGCCGAAAAGCCTAAAAAGCGGATAAGTAGGGCAAAGTGCGCTGAAACGCGTAACTCGGTTAGTCCTGCACCACAATCAGAGAAAAAACCAACACCTAGTACGGCAGCTAATCTATCCTTGGGTCCTTGGGCTCTGGCAAGTTCGGCTACAAGACCTACGATTTCTGCAGTCGACACTAAAGCTTTAATTTGCAATCAGCAACTTGGTGGTAACGAATGGAAAGTTCAAATACCACAGAAACCAAGAACAATGTCCAGCGACCTGAGGCGCCGCAGTCTCATGGCCTTTCACACACCTGAATCCGGAGATTCCAACCCTCAGTTGCACTATGAACATGACGGGTTTTGCAAACTCTGATTGATGGAATATGCGACGTGGATGAGGGTGGGCTGAAAATGAAACAGATCGCTCGTCTCGAAATGAGAACCGAGGGCAAACGTCGACCTTTGAGGAAGACTTTTGTTGAAGAGACAAGTACTACGTTAATGTTGTCCCGCCGTAATAGCCTGAAAGGTCTAAAGATCCACTTGCGCGTTGACTTAAACATATCAGACAGAGAGAAACGCAACCCTGTGATGACTGAACTAAAGCGAGGCACGGATGATGGAGAAAAAATCAAAACAAATCTTCGGGTAATTACCCGGATTCACCCGCAAAGCCGGATTAACAGGTTTCTGATGCTTCAGGCCCGCCCAGCGGTACCCACCGCGGCCTGCGCGTAGCCTTTACTAACCTCTACAGTCTGATGAACAAACGCGATGTACTGTGCTACTTTGTAACCTCTCAGCGGCCAGAGGTATTAAGCTTTGTTGAGACGTGGTTAAGCTCCGATATAACCGTCAAATAAGAGGAAAGCAGCGGTTGCTCGTGCATCCGCTGTGATAGAACATCAAACGACCGCCGCGGCGTTCTGCTTTACATAAGGTCTTCCTTGTGCGGGAGACTAGCGACCATCTACCAAAGAGCTGGTGGTCTTTGTGAGCAGTGTTGGATTCACCTCATCATCATCATGATCATGATCATCATGATCATCATGATCATGATCATCATCATCATCATCATCATCATCATCATCATCATCATCATCATCATCATCATCATCATCATCATCATCATCATCATCATCATCATCATCATCATCATCATCATCATCATCGTCATCATCATCATTAGCATCGTCAGGGTGGCCGAGCGGTCTAAGGCGCTGCGTTCAGGTCGCAGTCCACTCTGTGGGCGTGGGTTCGAATCCCACCTCTGACATCCTTTGTTGGTAACGAGCACCCTTTGGTGCTGTTCCGACTTTTATATTCCTATCCACTGGACTGTTACCAGACGACTGGAAATGCTCAGTCGTAAAGCCTATACCGAAAGGTGGTAACCCAAGTAAAGTGGATAACTACCGGCCGATCTGCCTGACTGCTGTTTTGGCAAAGACGCCCGAGAAGATCGTGAAGAAGAACCTTCTGCAGCTTCTCGAGTCGAAAAACCTGTTGACCTCCGCACAGCATGGTTTCATGAAGGGTCGCTCGTGCATCACCAACCTACTGTTGACAAGGCACGAGTGGTTACAAGCGATGAACCAAGGCCATTCAGTCGATGTCATTTACATTGACTTCAGTAAGTCTTTTGACAAGGTTAACCATGCAGTGCTCCTTGACAGGCTGAGGATATACGGTGTTGGTGGTTCGCTACACAAATGGATCAGAAATTTCCTTGTGGATCGGAAGTCTATAGTCCAGGTGGACAACCATCTAACGGATTGGTATCCATCGAGCAGCTGTGTTCCCCAAGGCACTGTACTGGGACCGATATTGTTTCTAATCCATATAAATGATGTGCCTCAGCTACTACAATCACCATGTGCTTTGTTCGCAGATGACTTGAAAGTGTGGAGAGTAATCCTCACACTCAATGATTGCGATTTACTTCAGCAGGATCTCGACCGCCTCGCAACATGGTCTGCAGAGGTTAACCTTCCGATCAACCCTGCCAAGTCGCAATTCATGAGGTTGAGTAAGTGTGAGCACAGCCGGTCTACTCAGTGGAGTCACCATTGCTCAACAACCGTTTGCCTGCACACCACTCCTCTATGGACGAAGTTGAAATTAACCCCGAAGTAGTCACTAAGCTACTTCTCGAACTGGACCCGAACTCCTCCCCAGGCCCGGACGGATTGCATCCCAGCTTCCTCAGAACGATAGCTGAGCACGTCGCCGTCCCTCTCTGCCAAGTGTTTCGGCAATCCCTCGAAGTCGGCTGCCTACCCACAGGCTGGAAAGCAGGCACCGTCCTGCCCAAATACAAGGGGGGAAACAAACAAGACCCGGCCAACTACCGGCCAATATGTCTGACGTCAGTTGTATGCAAAACTATGGAACGGATAGTAAAATGCGCTCTCCAGCTATACTGTGAGCATCTAAACCTCATCTCACCTGCTCAACATGGCTTCCGGAGAGCACGCTCATGCATCACTAACTTACTCATCGCCAGGGAAACATGGGCAGAAGCCATAGATACACGAAAACGGGTTGACGTAATATTCATTGACTTTAGCAAAGCCTTTGATAAGGTTCCACACGTACGACTGCTACATAAACTCCAGGGAATTGGCATTACAGGAAATCTTCTCTCCTGGATTGCCGATTTCTTAAGGGGTAGGACAATGCGCGTACAAGTGAACCAAACCCTCTCTGCTCCAGTGCCCATGACTAGTGGCATTCCCCAAGGATCAGTGCTTGGACCAGAGCACTTCAAATTATACATTAACGATCTACCGACTGCGCTACAAACCGACTGCTTGATCTACGCCGATGACCTCAAGCTTTGGTCAACAGTATCCAGCATTGAGGATGCGGATAGATTACAAGGGGCTCTAGACCAGCTACACGAATGGTCCATCAAGTGGGAACTCCCAGTAAACCGAGATAAATGCGCTGTTCTCCCAATGGGTGGCACCGAACCTTACGGTGCATACCACATTGGTGGGTTTCTCCTTAGGAATACCACCCACGAGAGAGATCTCGGGGTTATCGTGACCTCTGACCTTAGAACGACGCAGGACACGTTAAAGAAGGTGGCCACTGGAAGGAGACTGGTAGGTGCCTTAAGAAGATCATTCGCTCGAATGACTCCCGAGATTTTTCGACCGTTGTTCACTTCGTACGTCCGTCCAGTCTTAGAATATGGCCTACCAGCTAGCTATCCGCTTTCAAAGTTTGAAAGCGCTGTGCTGGAAAAGGTTCAGAGACGTGCATCAAAAGCTGTTCTGGGGCTACGTGATCTCCCGTACCCCATTCGACTCCAGAAGCTAAATCTGTTCTCCCTCGAGCTCCGCCGTCGCCGGGGTGACCTCATCTACACTAGACGCATCCTCCGAGGGGAACTTGGAAGTGAGTTACAACAATTCTTCCGGCCCAACATTGACTGTTCCACCCGAGGGCACACATGGAAGCTCTTTAAGCAAAGAGGACACAAAATTCGCAAGGACGTCACCCTATCCACTAGAGTGGTGAAAGACTGGAACAGCTTACCGGAAGCAATTGCAGACGCTCCATCCGAGGAAAGTTTCAAGCGGCTGCTAGACAAACATTCGCTGAAAATGCTGGAATCTTGCGACTGTCACTGCAATTACGACGAACCCTCGAGGAACGTCGTAACGCAACGACACGCATCAAACCCAGTATGACACGGAATCGATGGGGCTGACAAGGGATTTCCCTCCTGCTCTCTACAACTCAATGAACTCAATGAACTCAATGAACGTACACAGTGGCTGGTCAACCGCTACATCCCGCGTCTTTCGTGCGCGACCTCGGTGTGCTCTCACGCTGAGACCTAAAGTCCATTGACAACACGAATAGGCTGTACCAAAACAGCCTTCGGATGCTTTGGGCTCTCAGGCGCAGCTTCAGCACTTGGTCCGAAGAGATTGCGACTCGCCTCTTCGTCTCGATAATACGACCAATGCTAGAGTACAGCTCTCCCGCATATTGTCCCATCACGCTGGGCGAGGTAGAGAAGCTTGAGCGGGTGCAGCATGTAGCCACTAGGCTGATTCCCAACTTACGAGTTATGCCATATGAAGACAGATGTAAGAAACTAGGGCTGTACACCCTAGCATATCGTCGGCTGAGGGTTGACCTAATCATGACGCACCGGATATTACATCTGGGTGATTACCCCATGTTGAGACAACTGCTTCATCTGCGCACACCAAGCAGCACGCGAGGACACCGGTACAAACTTATCGTACCGCAGTTGAAGCGGGTCGCTCACCAACTTTGTTTCGAACGTAGAGTGGTGAATACCTGGAACAAACTGCCGCAGCCGATAATAGAGGCAAATTCAGTGGCCGAATTTAAGAAGCTTCTAGACAAACATTTCGCAGAAGCAAAATATAGAGAGCGAAACGATAATTAATACGTTAATGCCCAAGAGCGACAACTGACGCAGCTACACAGAGTATGCTCCACTCGCTGCTTCTAATCATCATCATCAACATCCTCATCCTCATCATCATCATCATCATCATCATCATCATCATCATCATCATCATCATCATCATCATCATCATCATCATCATCATCATCATCATCATCATCATCATCATCATCATCATCATCATCATCATCATCATCATCATCATCATCATCATCATCATCATCATCATCATCATCATCATCATCATCATCATCATCATCATCATCATCATCATCATCATCATCATCATCATCATCATCATCATCATCATCATCATCATCATCATCATCATCATCATCATCATCATCATCATCATCATCATCATCATCATCATCATCATCATCATCATCATCATCATCATCATCATCATCATCATCATCATCATCATCATCATCATCATCATCATCATCATCATCATCATCATCATCATCATCATCATCATCATCATCATCATCATCATCATCATCATCATCATCATCATCATCATCATCATCATCATCATCCTCATCCTCATCATCATCATCATCATCATCATCATCATCATCATCATCATCATCATCATCATCATCATCATCATCATCGTCATCATCATCATCATCATCATCATCATCATCATCATCATCATCATCATCATCATCATCATCATCATCATCATCAACATCCTCATCATCCTCCTCCTCCTCCTCCTCCTCCTCCTCATCATCATCATCATCATCATCATCATCCTCATCATCCTCCTCATCCTCATCCTCCTCATCATCATCATCATCATCATCATCATCATCATCATCATCATCATCATCATCATCATCATCATCATCATCATCATCATCATCATCATCATCATCATCATCATCATCATCATCATCATCATCATCATCATCATCATCATCATCATCATCATCATCATCATCATCATCATCATCATCATCATCATCATCATCATCATCATCATCATCATCATCATCATCATCATCATCATCATCATCATCATCATCATCATCATCATCATCATCATCATCATCATCATCATCATCATCATCATCATCATCATCATCATCATCATCATCATCATCATCATCATCATCATCATCATCATCATCATCATCATCATCATCATCATCATCATCATCATCATCATCATCATCATCATCATCATCATCATCATCATCATCATCATCATCATCATCATCATCATCATCATCATCATCATCATCATCATCATCATCATCATCATCATCATCATCATCATCATCATCATCATCATCATCATCATCATCATCATCATCATCATCATCATCATCATCATCATCACGCGCCTATGGCAACGGATGCGTATTTTTGGGTTCCTTATGAGCAAGACGTCTAATAGCTACTGAACCTGATTGATAATCTCCTCTACGTGCATGAACAGGGTGTGTGGGTGAAGCACTTCCTCCGTCTTGGAAATAGAGAGGAGGGGATTATTCGTCCTCTACGATTTCGCATTGCAGATGAAGCGACTCCTATTCTGGTTCAATCCTTCCTCGGCACTCTAAAGGTGTTGAAGACCCATATTCGTCCAGCTATTCATCTGAAGGACCGAGAGGATCGGAAATCCGCTATCAATGTGTTGAAGCGGCGTGCCAATAGTGGGAAAAGTAACCTCCACTCGTAAATTTTAGGGTTGTTCCCCGGGTCCGCCAAACCCGGATCAACAGGTTGATGACACTTTATAATCACCCAACGGTTCCAAACGCGGCCTGCGCGTAGCCTTCACAAATGTTTGTAGTTTAATGAACAAACGTGACCATCTATGTCACTTCGTTGCCACTTGTCATCCGAACATACTGGGTCTGTCTGAAACCTGGTTAAATCCTGAGGTCACTACCCAGGAATTCCAGGTCAGTGGGTGTTGGTGTTTCCCGTGCAACAGCTTTTCAAATGAGCTCGGTGGTTTGCTGTTATAAATTCGGTCCTTGCTGTGCGGGAGACTGCTAAACACATACCGTAGCGAAGATGATCTGTGCGAGCGGATATGTTGCTCGATCCGCCTGAGACAGAGTGAATTGTTTGTGGGGGCAACTTGTCGCAACCCGCGAAGTTGAGGTATGGATTGGTTGACACCTCTCAGAAGCTACAAGAGTCTGCCCCGCTTCCTGATTATGGGCGATTTTAACTTCCTTCGAATACTGTGGTCTGAGGCCCAACCACTCCCCGGCCCTGTGAAATCAAGGCGCAAGTTGCGGAGATGATATTTGAGACTGGGGCAGAACAGCCCTTCTACCAACCGACGCCCTTCACCTCGCATTCGGCTCCATTGTGTTTGGACTTACTATTAACTAGATGCGAGCAAAGAGTAGAAGAAATTCATTTCCTGGCGCCTCCGGCAGCTAGCGATCATTCGATGCTCTTAGCCAGCCTAGAGCTGCCGTGGCCCTCCTCTTCTCGGCTGGAGCCATCCTACAATTACTGGAAGACGGACTTAGATGGGCGCTACCGCAGCATTCATCTGTTGAGGCCTGTCGGTCTTTTTTTAAAAGAGGGTGTGAAATGGTTGTGCGCTTGTTTCTTGTCCCTCAAGTGTCGGAAAGCTGGACCAGGGAAGCCACATTGGTTCGACAAAGAGCATAGCCAATTGGCTCGACGGCAACGCGTATTATGGAATAAACTCCTGGTGTCTTGGTCTGTCAACGATTATGAGGCCTACAATAGACAACGGAATCTATGCAACGGCTTAAAAGCACGAAAACGTCGACGGTTAGGAGAAGAGCTCTCAACTTCAGCGTAGTCGGCCCCCTAGAACATTTTTCCTTACCTGAGGCGACTCTTGAGTCCTGCAGGTGACCTCGCAGTTTTAGAGGACTCGGATGGTCGGGTTCTAACTCCCAACTCTAAACGTGCGTTTGCTTGGCGGCACACTTCGCCTCGACATTTACACGTGGATATACACGTGAGTCGAACTCGACTTATGATGCTCCTACGGAACTCGTGTGCCTTAATTGCTATGTGGAAGATGCCCACAGTCTACTCGCCAGTCTTGAGGGCACGAGACCTGCCGGACCTGACCGCCTCCATACACTACTTCTACAGTCCACCTTGCCATCATCGCGCCTTCTGTGGCTGATTTGTTCAACAGATCGTGGTCTGAAGGTATAGTGCAGAACGACTTGAAATACTCGGTAATGGAACTGATCCCGAAGGGTAGTGACGCGACTAAAGTGGACAATTGTCGAGCGATTTGTCAGACCGGTATTTTGACAAAAGTGCTCGAGAAGAGTGAGAAAACTGGTCTTCTCCAGCTATTAGAGTAGGAAGACCACCTGACATCCGCACCGCAAGATTTCATGAAGCGCCGCTGCTGCATCATCAACCTGCTGTTGACCCGGTACGGATGGTTGCAGGCGTTGAACAGAGTGAAATTAACAGATCTTAACTTTGCTTTCAGTAAAGCTCGATAAAGTAAACCATGTGGTCCTCCCCTACAAGCTGAGGATGGTGGTGTTGGTGACGCACTACACTAGTGGATCAGTGACTTACTCATTGGGAGAAGATGGTGGGTACAGGTGAATGACCACCTAACGGAATGGTACCCGTCCACTAGCGGCGTTCCACAAGGCACAGTACTGGGGCCTATTTTGTTCCTGATCCACCTCAACGCGATACCTCATCCTCTTCAGTCAACATGCACATTGTTTGAAGACGACCTGCAGAGTTGTTGGGTTATTGCTTCCCTTGACGACTGTGACGTCCTTCAGCAGAATGTCGACCACCTGTCCCTGTGATCTGCAGAAGTTGACCTGCCGGTCAACCCGGTCAAGTCGTCATTTATGAGTCCGGGTTAGGATAGTAATTGGCGTACGCACACCAAATCCGGCCAAATGCAGCATCTTACAAAGTCCGTAAAGGATATAGAGGTACGCTGACGATATGACCTGAAGTCCGTCGACAACACGACCAGACCGTGCGGGAGCGAACTACGCCTTCTTTGTGCACTTAGACGCTGCTTCTGCACTTGGTCTGAAGAGAACGCCACCCGTCTGTTCTTTTCCATAATAAGACCGGGGCTTGAGTACGGCGCACCCGCCTATTTTCCGAGCACAATATGTGAGGTGCAGAGACTGGAACGTGTCCAAAATGTAGCTACCCGGCTCATCCTCAGTTTACGGGGTAAATCGTACGAGGACCGGATGTAGGAGACTAGCGATGTATACCCTATCATACCATAGGCCTCGAGTTGATCTCATACTGACTCCCCGGATATTGCACCCGGGCCACTTTCCCATGCTGGGACCACTGTTGCAGGTTTGCGCACCAAGTAGCACACGCGGACACCGGTACAGACTGGTGGTAACGGATTTGAAGCGCATCACTCACCCTCTATACTTCGAGCATCGAGTGGTGAAATATTGGAACAAGTTACCGGAGCCAGTAGTCGGGGCAAAATCGGTGTCGCAATTTACGAGATCCCTCGACGTACACATTGCAGACTACAGGTATAGGGAGCGTATCACACCGGATAAGATGTAGTTCAGCTGCAGTATGCTGCTACCGCTTAGGAATCAGCGACCTGATTCCGCTTTTGTGCCCGATCCACCTACGATGGAGCAATACAGGTTTTTATCTTCTCCCTCTCTATTTTCAGTTTGCAGTATTCATATGTCCACCATTTAACGGACAAGGAATGAATGGGACATCTTGTTGGAAGATGAGTTCATAGATGTACGCACCAAAACATGCATGCATCCCTCAGACTTCAATGGGGTGACAGGTTATTTCCGATCAGCTGCTAAACACAAACCTTATCCTTACACAAATCCAAAGGTCTGTGCTCAGAGGGCACGTGACTACGAGAGTACAAACTTAGTTTTTAACAAAAATAGGACCAAAGAAACCAAAGCCATCTCCAATAACACGTACAAGTTGGAAAGAACAAAAGTGCAAAGCACAATTCGGTCGTAAGTTGACATTTTAAGTGATACAGTGGTGGAGGGTACATATCTATACGAAGGCAGTGATCACTATTTGACTTTGAAGCGGACCGATTTCGAACAAGCCATTCGACAGTCAACATAGGCTTACAACTAGTTACTGAGTTCTAACTCTAAAACAATCTACTTTCTCCACTGATTCCACTAAATAAGAAGTTAGTCCATCCAGAGCAAGACAGACTACTCTACACCTCAGGTAGCAGGAATAAGGTACCGTGAAGAGGAGAATTTCAGAAGTCAATCCATCTTCATCGGGCGAATGAGTCTATTGTTATCGTTAAGTTTGTTACAAAAGAATCTGCTGGTCACCCAAGGGATGAAAACCAGTATGTCAATCATAGAGGCAGTGCAACGACAAGCATCCTAAACTTATGCGAGACACATCGAGCAAACAGTTGGCCACAAAGAATACATTAGAAACGTCCCGAAAGTCTATTGCACAATTCCGTGAAATATGTTACCGTTCGTCTGTGTTGAAGCGGCACATAAAACCTGAGGAACCCAATCGCACGTAATTGCCTTTGCTGAAAGCCCAAGATCACGTTACAGGTATTGGTGCCTATGCGCGCCTTCAGTGGTACATAGCTCAGTGTTCAAACCGCTCTTAACCACCATATTGTGACGTGCCACTTGGTCCGCTGTGGGGTCGCGGTAACTGCATCGTACTGTATCCAAAAGGTCAATTTGTGGAGGATTTCGGCGGCTCGGGTGTATCATTATGTGAAGCCTAACTACAGATTCGCTTAGTTCTGCCAGCAGAAGGAGCTTTCACTTACTACAGCTTAGCGCAGGTGGTCTACTGTCTATTCTCTGACTTATGCATCGCTTTTTGGGGACCGGGGATGATGGCACTGGAGGGGTCACAAAGTACGCAAACAGGTTCACTCACGTTGCGAGAAATATGTTGGCAGCTGTCATTTACTGAATGCCGTTTTACATGTGCTACCGTCAAATTCAGTACAAAGTATCTGGATCGAGCTCATTGGAGGCACTAGTTGTATTACACTTGGACATTTCCGCAATCTGTCTGTGGGTGCATGCGGGAAGCTTAAAGAGACCTTGTCTGTTTCCGTGAACGTTTAGAGGGTTTGCTTTCAAAATATCTCACTATAAGTGAGGGAAGCAAGGAGAAGGATGCAAGTAGATCTGCGAACAACAAAACACGAAGCAGCGACCACAACAGCAACAGCTGCGGCTGACATGAAGATTACCTCAGGTGGCAAAATCTAAAGTACTCGTTTTGACTTCTGATGATGCGGTTACGTAATCCTGGCTAAGCAGTAGCGAAGCGCCGGTGCAAAATCAACGTTAATCGAGGTACATTAGAGGAAGGTGACGCATATTTGCATAGCTTATGATGGGTAGGTTTTCGGGCAGTATTCTAATCTGAATTACAGTGAACTTCCTCCGAGTATCTTGAAGCGGTTTATCAAATAACGAGCATGTTTAATTAGGTGTTTTCAGCCAGAAACTGTACAGAACAGGCGCAGGCAGTTAAATGTGGTTACTACAAATTCATACGGGATTGACTAACTCAAATGTGCCTGATGCCCTAACAGGGGGATGCATAGTTTCTGTGCAAAAGCAGCTGGGGTTACGGAACATTTCTCAATTCAACAGTGGAACAGGAAGCGCACACCACCCAAACTTGTTAATCTTTATCCTATCTTTATCTTTATCTACGATCTCTATGCTATCCAAACAATTTTATTTTGCTTCATGCATAGTGGACTCATAAATGACCAAGACAAACGGAATCGTTGAAGTCTCAGGCCAGCTTAGTTGCATGCAGTCTGACGATTCCTTGTCTTTCTTTGATGTACCCAGTACCAAGTTAGCGGAAGACGAACCGCATTTTGTCTGAGATCGTAATTGAAGTGTCATCTAAAGGGGAGGAAATGGCAAAAGATACTCACAACATAAACATTATTGGAGCCGGCTGTTCACCAAATCAGCAGGTGTGTCCACTCAAACGTGTTCATTGTCCTTTGGACCCCAGTCAGACATTCCAGATGCACCGACCGACACCAAATTCGAAGTGGTAGGTTTCCTTTCTCCAGACCAGTTCATCGTTCTTCCTCCCCTCTCCTCTTCGAACCGCATCCCCGGTGCGCAAGCAACGCACTTCGAGGGAGTCCGTGTGCTGGCATGCGCAACACGTGGCCCAGCCATCAGAGCCTGGTGCGTGAGATAATGGTGCTGAGCGGTTTACTCACTCTTCGTGCCCTAAATACGCGACGCCGAACCCATTCATTGTCCATGCGGTGCTCCAACGAGACGTGCGCTAAGCTGCGAAGGCAGCTATGATCGAACTTGACTAGTGTATATGTCTGTAAAAGGGTTGAATGGAGGGCTGCAGTATAAACTCTGCTTTTCACAGCTAGCGTGATGTAGCGTCACAGCCATAGGTGGCGGGGATTTGCAAAAGCACCTCGTGACTTTGCCATACGTTGTATAATCTCAGCTTCGATCCCACGAGCGCTAATATAGCTGCCCAAGTACTTGAATTCTCAACGACTTCTGGCGGATCACATGCAAATATCAGCTCAGGAGTGGATCCCTGCCAATCTTTGAGAAGCACTTTGCATTTCGAGGGTGCAAAGCGTAGCCCAAAACGATTGATAGCCATCGATTATCAGTGTAATGCTGCTTGGTACGTTTGCGAGATGTCACAGCTGAGAGCAATGTCATCGACATAATCCAAGTCAATAAATCGCTCACCAGGAGGTAGCTTCACACTTTTTAGATCGTGTCTAGCCAACGCTGTTTCCATGACTTCATCAATGGTGAACTTAAAGAGGAAAGACGACAGCGCTCAATCTTGTTCCATACCACTGGAGATATTGAGGAGCAGCGACAGTTTTGCATAAACTTTTACTCTGCCCGAACTATGCGCGTACAGCGCTCTGCTAGTGTTTACCTAATTATCGGGCACACTTGTCTTCATTAGACAGCCCAGAAGGGAACATCGATCCAGCGGATCGAAAGCATCTATTATATCGAGGAACACGACAGCGGTGGGTCTTCTATAAACATGACACTGTTCCAGAAATTAACGCAATTGAAGATGTAGTCGATGAACCCGCGACCTCGGCGAAACTCGGCTTGCGCCTCGCGAATCTGGCTTTCACGAGTGCCAGTCTGTAGAGAATGACGGATGCAAGCAATATAGAGGTAACTGAGATCAAACTGACCCATCTACGACTGCATTGCGAACTGGAGACTCCGTAGAAAATTGGGACTATGAAGGAGTGGCTCCAGTCTGCTGGGGCAATTTCCTGCTCCGAAAGTTTCACTAGTTACTCGGGTAAACCTTCTGCAGCAGCAAGTCCCCCGAGTTCGAAGAGGACCGGGGGAATCTTTTATCGGCCCCAGCCGCCCTATGCAATTTCATCAGTCTGGTCCCACGTTTGGCTTCTGCGTGTGAGGGCACATCCAAGGACATTGCCCAGGAGGAAGGGCAGTCAATGCTGGAAAAAGAAAGAGATAACTCAACTTGGTTAAACTGTCCCGCGAAGTGTTTGTCACAATGCTCCAAGAGTTTTAACGAGCTGTGAATCGGCTGTCCACTATCGTCGCGTATGGTCCAGCTGATATCAGGTCTCTTGCTGTTTGTTTCCCCTAGCAGATGTAATACCACAGTGATTACCAACGACAGCGGCCTTTTCCATTTCCGATACGCGATGAGACTACCAGGCTTCGTGGTTCCTCTTCCAGAGCACACGTCGTTTTTCAGTGAGATTTCTGCGAGTCTCACTGTATTTGCTTCCGGCCGGAATACGTCGGGGAGCATCCAGAGGTTCCATAGACTGCATAGTGACCCATTGTCCACATTAACAAGGTGGTTCACTACATGAAGATATGCCTGCTTCTAATAACATCCAGCGAATATTCAACCAGTGATGTTCAACTCGGTTCAGTGGGCGTTTATTCAGCCTTGATGCCAGTGTACTTTGGTGCGCATCCAGGGCATCTGACTCCGCCAGCTGGTGTGCATCAACGCGATCGCTGCGACCTTACGGACGTCTGTTGAAAAGCAGCCCATGGTCGACGAAAACGAGTGTGTGATCGGAGTCCACTCTCGTGTTCTAACTCAAGCGACTGATTTGGACACATCCTCTCCAGCGGTAACTGATCGCAATGTGATCGGTTTCCGTCCATGCCTGGTCCGAGGTTGGTGGACGTCATTTCACACTTCTGAGGGTGCTGTGTCGAGTTAGTTCTCGCGAGAAGGCGACGAGCATCACCACAGAAGTGTAGCAACTGCTCACAGTACTCATTACAGGTGCTTACACCATGTTGGTCGCCCAGATAAAGCTCATCCGAAGAGAATTTTCCGACGGGCGTTTACATTATCAGCAAGCACCACAGTATACATACACTTTCTGAGACGAAGGAGATCAATAAGTTAGTGATAGAAATCATCTTTCACCGAATCAGGGCTGCAGTTTGTGGAGGCGTAGGACGCAATGACAAACGGGCACCGTTTGTCTCCGCGCGACTTTGAAGCCTGGAACGTGCCAGCCAATCTGAAGGCGCGCATCCGGCTGTTGACTGAGAGGCAATCAATCAGGGCAGCTTCGGCCCCGGGACTCAAAAAAGTGCTTACGCCAGCTTGACCGGCACTTGAAGCTGCGACATCTTTAGACAAGGGCAATGAGAATGTGCCACCAGTGTCCTATGTTGGGGACCGCATGCAAACCACAGAACTTGAACCTAGCAGACGGGTTTCTGATAAGCAGCAAATGTCAATCGATAGGGTCTCTAGTGCTCAGACAAATGCTGTCTGTTTGCCAATCCGAAACAAATTACGCGCACTGAGACCTGACTGTCTTAGGGTGGATAGAAGGCTCAAAATAGAAAACGTTGGGCTGACCTTTTCCATTTGGATGTACATGACCTGTCAACTAGGTCGGAGCAACGTTCTGTGATTGCGTGGAAGTTGCAAATTGAAGACGAACGCCCAAGGAAGTGAAACAATGAGAGCCAGAAGTTGAGAGTGGAAAATAGGGTGAGAAAAGGGAAGTTGGAACGGGACGCTAAGGATGAAAAGTGCAAAAGAGGATAAAAGACGGGAAGATCTGGACAACAGCGTCCCCACCCTTATCCACCTTGTTCGACGCAGCAGATAGGGCTCCGTTTATTATCCTCTGCGACGGCCAGAGCGTCAAAAACTATTTGGAGAAGATGTTATCGCACGGTATTGCGTGGGCAGGATAATGTCAGATTGCTCAATCCTGGACAGGAGACAGAGTAGAGTTCTCAACCGAACCACTTGGTTCAAAAAGCTTACCGCAGGGCAGAGGCGTAGCATAGGGGGGGCAGAGGGACGGTCCGCCCAAGGGCGGAATGTGACACGGGCGGCATCTTAGTGTTGTCGATGTTTCGATAGCAAATACAAAGCGTGAACTTTCCAGCTAAGCTGAAGCTTGAATATTTTAATGTTACATTGTATGAGCAACAACAGTTTTGCGCCCTGCGTCACACCTGTGCAAACGTTCTTCCCAGCGATACCCTTGGTTGTCCCATTGTGGCCACTTTCAGTACATTTACCTCAGTGTCCCAAAGGAGCAGCCAATTCATCGAAAACCAATGTGCATTTTATTGTGAGCCGATTGTATGGCCTTCACTCGTCTATACTGCCCTCAGTCAGGGCGAACGTTTTATCGAGGCCCAGGGCGACAAAAATGCTTTCCGCGCCGCTGCCACAAGGCAGA